GGGGAAGGGGGGAATAAATGTCTGAGGGCGAGGGAGGAACAGCTATCCCGCCCGCCCGCCGGGGCAGCCCCGGTGCCCGGCAGACCCCGCTCGGCCGCAGCGGGAAGGGCTGGGGAGGCAGCGCCTGGGTCCGCCTCTCCCCGCCCGCCGCTTCGCCTTCCCCGCCGCTGGGCCCGCCATGCCTGGGGACCGGCCTCACCCCCCGCCTCCGCCGCGGAAAAAAAAAAAGAAAAAAAAAGGAAAAAAAAACCCCAACCAACCCAACTTCTTGCAACTTTCCAGAGGGAGGAAGGGGGAGGGGGAGAGGCACCGGCACCCAGAGGTTTGAATGGGGAAGGGGGGAATAAATGTCTGAGGGCGAGGGAGGAACAGCTATCCCGCCCGCCCGCCGGGGCAGCCCCGGTGCCCGGCAGACCCCGCTCGGCCGCAGCGGGAAGGGCTGGGGAGGCAGCGCCTGGGTCCGCCTCTCCCCGCCCGCCGCTTCGCCTTCCCCGCCGCTGGGCCCGCCATGCCTGGGGACCGGCCTCACCCCCCGCCTCCGCCGCGGGAAGGTGCCCGGGAGCGGCCGGTTGAGCTCCCTCAGGCGGGCCCGGCGGCGGGCAGCCCTCGCTGGAGGCGGGGAGGCGCTGAGCTGCCCGTCCCGCCGCCTCCTCCTCCTCCTCAGCCTCCGGGAGGTGTGAGGGGAGCGGCCCGGGCGGGCGGGAAGGGGGGGAAAATGGCTGACCCCCGGGCGGGGAGAGGGGACGGTGCGCCCCGGGGTGGCGAGAGGGGTCTTCCCCGGTGTGCGGCGGGCGGGGGCTGAGGGGAAGCGCTGCTCTCCCGGGAAGGAGCCCGTGGAGCTCCCGCCTGTTTTGGGGGGCTGAGGGGTGCCAAGGGTCTGGCCCGGGGGGCTGAGGGTGCCAAGGAGGGCCCAGGGCGGGCTGAAGACCAGGCCGCGGGGTGACTGGGTAGGTGTGGGCGCGCTTACTTACCTAAGTTAATATGTAAAAAAAATAAATGGGAAATAGAAAAATTCCTCCTCCGTCTGTCCCGGGGGGCTGAGGGGTGCCAAGAGTCTGGCCCGGGGGTCTGAGGGACCCAAGGAGGGCCCAGGGCAGGCCGGAGACCAGGCCGCAGGGTGCCTGGGTAGGTGTGGGTGCGCTTACTTACCTAAGTTAATATGTAAAAAAAATAAATGGGAAATAGAAAAATTCCTCCTGACAGACCTACTTTTACTTCCTCTTTCACCAGAGGCTCTTTAAGTGCGGTGTGCCCTTCAGATAGCGAAGCCTGATAGGAAATGGGAAATAGAAAAATTCCTCCTGACAGACCTACTTTTACTTCCTCTTTCACTAGAGGCTCTTTAAGCACAGTGTGCCCTTCAGATAGTGAAGCCTGACAGTAAAAGGCCTGAGGTGGGGACCAGTGTTGCCTCCACGTACCGGGGAGGGGGGCATGAAATGGCGGAGCCAAGGTCAGAGCCCGTGTCGGCAGAGGGACAGACACAGAAACTGTTGGCCTGGACCTTCTGGGTCTTTTCTTGGGACCAGAGTTTTCTCCCTATAAAAGCTGCATCACAAGAGGTGCCCTTACTTATCACGAAAGGTGGCCTTGATGAGGAGGCAGCTTGAAATCAGTGATGAAAGCAGGTCGTTTCCACTGCAGAAAGCATAAACGTGGAAATACTTTAAATACGCTTGCAGGATGAAAACCCAGAAGATCTCACAAATTTATTTCCTCGTGCTCGACAGTTTCATTCCCACTGTAGAGGGAATGAAATGTGAAGACGGGAGATCTTTTAATCGGTTCTTAATGAGAATCTGCTCACTTTGATGAGCATCAAATCTCTTTCTGTTAATTACTGTCAATAGAAATGGGCGGTGATCAATACTTCTCAGCATCAAGGCCTATACCAGGCACATCTGGAGAACTGAAAAGCAGAATAAAAGAAAAAGTCATAGTACTGCTAGAGCCTAAGGCGTAGAATTCGCACAGTTGCAAGTGTTCCCTTAATTACAGTGATATGTTGTGCCAGTTTGTAACTTATTACAAGGTCAACTTGTAGTCATTAGAGACTTACCTTGTAACTTAAAAACCACTTTTTTTTTTTTTTTTTAAATGCATTCCTTGAACTTAATATTTGCAGGAGGGGGAAAAGATAAAATGCGCCATTTCTTTTAGACTTTCTCGGAATCTGCTGGAGCTATTGTGTTGAACTTTTCGCTTGACTGGTTTCCTTGTAGCAGGACATTCAGTGCACGGATTCGTTTTTCTCATTCAGGTGATTTGCATACCTCCTGCTTGGAAAGGGCCAGATTATAACAGGTAAGGAGTAGAAGGGGTGACTTATACCCGTCTTGCTCACTAGGGGAGCTTAAACTGAAATGTGAAGGGATAAAGAGCTTAGTTCTCCAAACACTTAGAAGAGTATGTACGAGTTGCAACAAGGAAAGTTCTAGTTAAATGTTACGAAGGAAGTTTTCACAATGAGGGTAGCCCAACGTTGCAGCGGGGCACAGAGGGATGGTGACCCTCTGCTCTTGAAAATACTCAGAACTTGACTGGGCAGAGCTCGGAGCAGATGGATCTGCTTTGAGTAGAGGTTTGGAGCAGAAACGTCTAGAGGTCCCTTCCAACCTAAATTACTCTGTGACTCCATTGCGGTCGCGTGTAGTAATCCTTGGGAAATGCGCACATAAATATTTGCAGGCTGGGGTTTTCATGACTGTTGAGAGGAGCAGGTGGTGGAATCAGCCAGTTGCCAGTTAAACCACTGTTAATGTTATCAAACAGATTTAAAAGCAGAGTTCCCTCACTAAGCAGCTGGTCATAGAAGTCACTGGGAATGTTTTTGCTGTTTCTTCCATACATATTTTCAGAAATCGTGTGACTGTTCTGTGCTATGTCAGGATGAAGTTTGAATGCAAGCAAACTGCAAGTCGATGATTGGATTCACAGAGACTGACTGTACCAATTTTTACTTGTTTTAGGTGTTTTCTCACCCAGTTAATGTTGGATTGGAGACATTATCATGTCCAAGAAATAGCATGAAAACAACATGAAAAGGAGTATCAGTGTGTATTGTTTTCTTACATAGCTAGCTGGGTCCCTTTATGTGATTTAACATGAGAGAATATAAAATATGGACATTTATTGTTTTAATTTATAGTTGTGTCTAAGTTAAGGAATAAGGCAATTTCACCTGACACAACTAGTTATTTTTACAGTGAGCATCAGCAAAGAAAAGAAATGTGTATTAGGTATTTCTGTTAATCCAGTTTCTATCTAATTTATTTTGGCAGCATGTAAAATTACACATAGCCTTTAAAATAACATAATGTTGAGCAATTATATTCTTCCCTTGTTTGGAGTAACTGGTAACTGTAGCAAATAAATAATGCAATAAAACAACAGAGGCAAAAGAGGGATTTGCTTTGCAAAGGCATTGGCTTCCTTGTGTGTGAATTTCTCCTAAAATTAGCTCGAATTTCTCCTAAAATTAGCTCAAATTTCTGTAGACCATCATTTAAACTGTAGTGACTTCCTTTGGGTGTTGAACTGAATTCACTTTGCTACCAGCTGAGGTCATTATAAAACAACTTTGTTGTATTTTCTCCACTCTCAAGTGTGCTTTAGGAGATAAGTAAAAAAGAAAAAAAGTACGGGAGAGTTGAGGAACCCTCAAAACTAGAGATTTATGAGAACTCTGTGAAGACTTTGATGACCTCTGTGTTCCGTCCAGTCAGGTTGTAAAATCAAAATATTTCCCCCACCTCAGACCAGTTTGGGCTGGGGCTCATGGTGTCGATGCTGGACCCAGCACGGCTGAAAAGCAGCTTTATGTTTACTCATCATCCTTTTTGTAAAAGGACACTAGCGTGTCCTGACCCCCAATCTTCTTACTCCTCGCTTGGCATGTTTTCTGATTTTTAGTTTTCATCCTTCTTCAGCCGAGTATCTAAAATGCATGGAGAAAATAATGATGTGAATTAAGATCAGTGCCCCCTGTTTAGTGAAACGGGGTGCTTCTAAAAGCAGTTACTGCTTCTTACAAAGGAATAATTTCCTTGCACACTTCAAGCCAGCTTTGTTTTATGTGAAAGAGTGGATTCTTTAGCTCCTCCCTTATTTACCCAGTGCCTTTACAGTTCATCCCTCCGTTCCCCTCAGTACAAAAGTGAAATATTCTATTTACATTTTAAACTGCAACTTCATCATGCAAATTCTCCATCCCTGAACAAGACGGGGAAGTACGTTATATT